AATATTTTCATAAGCACTTTAGAAATTGCGGAGCTAATTTTTGGATTAGCGCTGCCCACCACTGTTTAAATGTGAAAAAGAAGGATTTAAAAGCATGATGTCTCCTTTAGCTAATAATTACCTGTACAGAAGTGAAGCACCTAAGATATGRCTCCATCTATATGTTCTAGTGTGTTTACAGAATAATAATAAATTGGATCATGTTAACAGTAATGTATGGWGTCAAGGTTGTCATCAGGTAAGGTGATATGGATCGACAGCACTGCTAAACACACCATCTGCAAAACCTAGATAACACCGTGCCATGTGGCAGACAGCAGGGCACTATCAGGTTATCGTGCTTGGGCCTAGTTTGTGTGCATAAGCAGAGAGCAGAACAAGGACATGTGGCATGTATATTAGCCCTCCATAGGGATCTCTGAAATTGCATGCTGGTTGATCTTATGGCTGAGTGGCAGGTTGGTTCAAAGCTGYAGTTGGCAGCCGAGAGCAGAGGGAGCAGTATGTGATGTGCAAATTTGAATAGTTTGAGGGAGACGGCAGAGGCACGGCAGGATGCACCGGTTTTGCCATCTTCCTATTTCTTCAGAGGCAATCGTGTTTAACCACCACAGTGCGGACCACAGGAGCACGTAATTCGAGGTGCCACATGCAAAGTGGAAATGTTTTCTTTCTGACCTGTGTTTACTGCAAAGTGGTAGTTATCACACAAATCTGAGGGAAGAGGTGTCTAAAAACAAAGAGAGCTTAATTCAAGCTGGGAATAACCGGAGGGTTGAACAGAAGAAAATTTAAGGCTAAGAGAGAAATGCTCAAGGTGCTTAAATGCAACAACAATGCAGGGGCTACCGTAGAATAGGCTAACATACTGTATATATTGATTAAGAAGAAAAAGCCAGACTGCATGAATCATTGCATTCATTTTAGTTCTTGTTTTGTTGGTATTCATTCATCTAAACCCTTGTTGGCCTGAGTACTATAGTTTTGCTCTATTTTTCCAAAACAAATTTGAGAGCTAATTTCATGGAATGAAAAAGCAGCACGGTGAACCGTCGTATATTGAAGCCCCGTTTCCCTCCCACTGCTCTGTGTGTAGGAAGTAAAGAAAGCCTCCCTTTGTGAGTTGTGTCGTTTCTTGGAAGAGGTATCCGAGCGTGAACCAAGCAGCTGGTTTCATTAACCTCCCACCCAGCCATCGTGTAGGGGGAGAGGGTGGTGATGGATGTGGTTTTGGAGGGGTGGGGTGTTAGTGACCTTCTGAATTTGTGACTCAGTCATATTACTGCATCAGGTGTCTGTAACTCAGCCATGCTACACATGACACAGCTGTATGTTCCTGTACGTACTGTATACTTGATATATCTCAAATTAATTGGCTTGTTTGAACTCAGCTAAAATGTGACCTGAATAAGGGTTTTTCTTTCAACAAATTTGAATGTATTTTATTATAAACACTTTAATAATATTTCAAAATATTGTTATATTGCTAGAATAGCAATGACTGAATTGCCACTTCAGACTGTTTCAACCCTAAGAGGGCCATAGGCCGTCTGTGTAGGCTGCATAAAAAGGTAATGAATCGATCCAGTCTACCCTTTCGATGACATGTTTACATGACCATGCGATATCCGTTACCATCATGTTATGTTTTATATCACGTGCTTCAGTTGGAACATGTATACCTTCACAAAATTCTATATTATTTAAAAATATATACATAAATAAATAAAAATTACTAACTTGGGTTTAGCTCTGGTATTGGTTTTTGTAATTAGATTTTATTTACAATCTCATTGCAGCAAAAATTTCATTGGCTAATATACTAAACATACATTTAAAAACAAATTATTTGGTTCATCATAAATTTCCAAACTCTCCAATAAAAATAAAAAAACTCTGCTCTCTTAATTTTTTCTGATGAGTTTGCTTAGAGCTCAATAAATCCTGGGATACCATTGGTTTCTGTAAGATACTCGGATGCTGCCAATTTTTGAGGGGTTTTATGGGCTGCTTTTTTCGGCCGTGAACAGACAGCCTGCAAATTCAGACATCCTAGAACACGGCACAGTGACGTAAGCAGCTGACAAGTGCACCAAACATGGGTTGCAACCCCAGAATTGAGACACAGCAATGGTGGTAGCAACAGCAAGCTTTAGCACTTCCTACGGACAATGTATATATATATAT